CTATTCAGTATATCTCACTATTTATGCATTTTCTAAAACATTTCTTAATTTTTATTATTTACCTAAATACATACACTACAATTCAAAAGATTTTTTCATTTAGCGAGGATACATTAAATAGATAAAAACTGACAGTAAAGACATTTAAATTGTTTAAAAAACGTAATAATGAAGTTTCTATTGATCCTAGTAAAGAATCCTGGAAAAATGTATCACGGTTTCCAAAAAAATATTAAGCCGCACAACTGTTTTCAACGTTGACAGTAATAAGAAATGTTTCATATTAATGATATCTGAAGGATCATGTGACACTGAAGACTGGAGTAATGATTCTGAAAATTCAGCTTTGCCAAAAATAAATTACATTTTAAAATATATTCAAATAGAAAATGTTAAAATAACTAAAATTTTATTTAAAATGTAACACTTCAGTGCAGAAAAAAAACAAAACAATCCAGACATCTGTTTGTCTCTTCTTCACAATGATATCATCATAACCACCCGCACAATCATTAGGGACGCTGAGAATTCATTTCTCTACTCAGTCAGAAAACTTATTGTGGGTGTGGGTAGGACGGTTGCTGCACAGACGGATGGGTGGGAGCTCTGGACGAGGTAATGAGAGAAAGAAAAGTTAAATGAGGATTTAATGACTAAACCATTCTGAAAAATCTCTCTTGGCTGCAAGATATGCAGTACTGTGTGGTAAGTAACTGCACGACACAGCAAAGTTATATGCACAAGTTACATATTACCTCTCCCGAGCATTATTGTTTCACAAATCAAAATAATATCTCACTTCGAGAAATGAAGGATAATCTTCTTCGACTATGTGTACAGCAGTGTGTTGTTGACGGCACTTTGTTTCCAAACACATGAGGGTTAATCTGCATTTGGTTAACTGTAGAGCTAGGCTCTCACAGTGCTGTCATACTTCATAGACATCACCATCCCCACTGAACAGCGCTGTAGTTTAAGCAGCTTCCTGTTTATCCAAGAGATAGGACTGACACAACTATGCTGGAGTTTCCTGCAGTCACACAGCCAGAGACTGAGCTGTGGGCTGTCTTCTGAAACAGAGCAAACTGAGTTACAATACCTAAAAATTCAAACAGACCACTAAAAACCTTTTTTGACGAGTCAGACTAAATGGTCGCAAATGTGACAAAAAAATAAAAATGTGCGACAATAATTCAAAATGCAGTCTCAATTGGTACACTCAGGAAAACTTGTGCTCAGATGCAGTTTTATCATTTTGTTAGAGTGCCGGTCCGGACAATATTTCATGCATGCAATAACAAACAGCATGGCCTGTGATGTTCGATTAGCCAGAAAATGAATCTGGTTCAATCAGTGACAAAGATTCATGAAACATGAAGTGTCTCAAACTCACCTGTGAGTTAGCAGTTTGAATCAGATTTACGGAGTGAATTATTCAGAGCCATTATTTAGTTCTCTACTGACTCTCTCACTGAACTTCAAAGTCATGACTCATTTTTATGCCAGAATGGTATTTACAACATAGGCTAGGCTCAATTGTAAAAATGTGCCTCTACATTTTTGTACAAAAACATACCAATATCGCTGTATATTTATACTATACATATACATTTTGAGTTGAAATCAACAGATCATCAATTAATAAAGACTTATTTTCTCACAAGAAAACAGTGAAAACACAAGTCACATTAAAAGAGCTGAAAGCAAGCTAAAATGGGATTATATTTTATCCCACGTTTGATTTTGTTAGCACTGCTGGTTAGGTTTAGTGTTGGGTTTAGTGTAGGTGGTAAGCTATTTTCAAACGCAATAGAGAATTAACCTTTTAGCGCAAACTTGCTGAACATTTTATATTCCCGAACTGCTATGATATGTATAACAACAAACGTAATAAAACATTGCTAGATTCACGTTCATCACGATATTTCACTTTGCAATCATTTTGCAGAAATGTTTAAACAGGCACATTTTTCCCAATGAGCCACAGTTGGGTATTTATATGGCACAAATACAATCAACGACAGCATTAAACCAGAAATAATTTACTATATACAACTAGAACCACTAGTTTATATAAATTGCCATAGTCTATATCATCACAGTAGTTGTTTTTGTTAGAAGCTAAAGTAATAAGCTATAAACTCAGTGAACTTAAGTATTTCTGAACAACCATCTTTGAGTGATTCTCAATAAATATAAAAAAGTCATTTGGCACTTTTTTATCTGGAGCCCTGCGGGTATATTGCTTGGAACATTCACTGGACCGAGTCGACGCTCTGATCAGGGGTGAGTTGGGAAAAAAAAGTGTTGTGTAAAAATGAACACCACCCACAGTGGAGGCACACATGCAATCAAACAAATTAACCATTGATAATGACATGCCACACAAACTACAGTAGGAGGTCTTGTGTGCACTGCATATGCTGTGTCTAAACAAGGAGGACAGTGTGCATTATCAGTCTCTGTGAAGGTATAACACAGAATGAGACTTTTATATCATTATAGTCTCAAACTAACCACTGCCATTTGAGCTGGTTAGGAGGAAGAAAAATGGAAAAAGTTTGTGTTCTGCAAGAAGAGCATTCAAACTTCAGGCAGCCGCAACATTACCGGTGAATAACACGCATGCAGGTGCAGAAGACTGGACGAATCATTTGTAACCTCCCACACAGATCCAGACACTCATTTCAAGACGCGCTGGCTTCCTCTGCAACTAGTGGCTGTCTGACCGACAGGAAGAAAAACTAATGCACTATCTGCTTTCCCGAGGAGGAAGAGAAAGCATAAGATAAAAGGCTAAATAGATCCTGGCAGGCAGCTAACCTACATTCATTTCTGAGAAACAGAATCCCACAACTTTTGCGCTCCCAAATCACTATCCTTCTGGATTCTATCTAGTCTTGAAGAGTAAATCAGGTAACACAGATTTTATTTTAAGCCAGAAGCGTGATAGTAACTGTAGTGGGTTTTTGCAGCAGCCAGTAAATAGTCAACTGGTCCTTCCTCAAGGCGTGTCTATTTTCAGAATGGTCAGCCAGGACAGACAGTCTTTCCTCTGGGGGGAAGGACGTGCACGTCTTTGTGAGGAAACAGAATGAAAACGAAAATAAGCAGGAGAGAGTTTATACAGAAAAAAGTGAAGGGAAAAACTGCATGTGCATTGCTTTCTGACTTAGTAAAGACAGAATTCGGTTGGATTGAATATAAATAAGTTACTTAATAAAGACTTGGAATTACAGTACACATCTCACACACTGTTTGAATGAGCTTATATGATGCAACTTAAAAGAGACCTCAAAATAGACCGTATTAAGCAAATATCCAACAAGAAAAAAAAATTAAAAGGAAAATATGCACTAAACCACTAAATATCACATTTAAGTTGATTTACAGACTTTATAAACAAAGTAACAAAATAACTACGACAGTATGACATGCAGCACACTTTTGCTTGATCACTTTCATGGCTGTTCTTGATCAAATCATTAGCTAAATTAGGCCCCTTCATGTCGGTCCAGGTCTGCACAAAGGACAGATTGTGTGGCCCGTGGTGCTGCCCACAAGGCTTTGAGTTTTCCAAAAAGAAGTGTTCCCACACTCTTCACAGAAACTATGACTGCTAGTATAGCAACACGGCCTAATACAGTTAGGAGAGTCAGCAAATCTCACGTGCAAGTTCATAAATAGCACAGCACACAAAGAACTGGAAGTCAAGACACAGCCACGTCAAAGGAACGAAGACATTTTGCCTATTCTGTTGTTCCGTGTCATGTGGACCGGATACTAGAATGCCTGTATGAAGTTTTAGGATGGGCAAAGGCAATAGCTCTTTAGACAAGAGTCCATTGAGGGACCTAAACAAACTTCCAAGTGGGACACTGATGACTTAAAATTATGGCTGCACAGATATTAGGATTTTGTCCAAACAGATAATTATTTTCATGCTGTGATGATGATGATGATTGATAAATGTTGAATTTGTCTAAAATTTTAAATTAATGACTAAAATGAATCATTTTAAATGCCACAAGTGAATTTAGCCATCATTATAATGTACAGTATGAGAAATGGATATTCATTTTTTGGAGACAAATAAAAAAAAATGTTTTTAAACTTAAATGCAGCAGACAAAATACTGTGTAGACTACATACATGTTTTAACAAATTCATGAACATTGAGGGGTCTTGGAGGCAGGAAGGTTGAGAACCACAATTTTAGGCTATCTAAAATGGTATCAGTGGGCTTGAAAATCGTTCACTGAACTGACAGCACACATCATGGTGCACATCTCCTTTTCCACAACAAACTAAATGTGTCAGTTTGTATTGTACAAAGTTGTTTACAAGCATCAATAAACCTAGTAATCCAGAAAAGTGAAACATATACTCCAAAGTAACATAAATAGGTTATTAGAGCCAGCATTCCCTAGCATGTACAAGGGGAAAAGAATCAGAGGGATTAGGTTGTGCAGGATTAGCTTCATGGGATATTCTCTAAAGCAACTGAGTGGCTATGAGCAAGACGTGCAGAGTGAAAGAACGGCTTCAAAGCAATAACACAAAGTGCCTGACGGTGTCTTTCCGCTATGTAATTCCTGACTATTTATATCCGAGGTTACATCTTTTACACACATATGCCAAACAAAGGTTTCTTTGTCATCTGGGCTGAGGGCTCACTCCTAGTCCTCCATGCCATGTTATGAGAAAGTCTATCACACTGCCCTGCACATCCATTTGCAAAATTACAACCAAAAAAAAAAAAAAAACACGAATAATCACATTTTACACCGCGTACGCACTCAGTTTTACCAGGTTGCTCAAAATACATTGCCATAGACTCATTCTGCGTTGGCATTATACTTTACTACCAATTGTATATTTCCACTTGAGATTTTTAAGTACACGTGACGCTTAAATAAGCACCGAATATACTATATACAGGTCCGTATATACCACATAAACGTCGTTAAAATAAATGAATGAAAGAGGAAACTACATACATGTCTGTCAGGGTTGGTATCATCGATGTGTAAATCCAAATCTTTCAATCCGCGCGCTGATACTTTCAACGTAATGGATGGCGCGAGCAAGTTTCTCGCGCAAGACGTACAAATTATAATATATCCTCGATTTATGCACTGTGTATCCTCAATTCACTGCATAGGCAACACACGGCGAGCCATGTCACTTTCTCCCTCTGAAGGAAAGGCTGTAGGCTGGGTCCTGTCGTTATCTCGTAAGGGGTGTGGACAAAACACATGCAAATGAAAAGACGTCCATCCCCGGCGTGTCCACTTCACACCCCGGCCAGCATGGAGGGAGTATCGAGGTACCTTATTTCATTGGGGAGAATAAGAGGGTGGTGAAGCTGGAAAAAAAAAATCATGCTGGGGAATGTTACATTTTCTTTACAGTCAGGGCAACTGTGCACACGCACTTTGACTAATAAATACACTTAATGCTGCACAAGCCCCGTTCCAAACGAAGAGGGGGGAAGGGACAAGGGGAGGGACAAAGATTTGAGCTTTTCCTGGCCTCTTTCAGTGAAACCCAAAGATGTGAATTACACCCCTCACCCTCCCAGCAACATCATCACAATGGGTACAAACTGACATCAGGTTCTTAATCTCTATTGTTCCCTCTCAGTGTTTATGTATATACCATTATTGAGTATTAAACAGTTGTTTAATTATTGATATGCTGCTAAAATATATGCACAAAAAAACAACAACACTCATCATGCAGTGTATTGAACCGCCATGTCATAAAGTGGTGATTCCCAAACTGAGATACTTTCTAATTTTGTTAAATCAATAAATCATAATACAATAAAAACAAAGCAAATTCGGGTGTCATTGTTTGATAGATAGATTTTGTAATGGATATTAAACAATATTATTGATAAAGCTAAATAATATTCATTTTAATATAAATGAAAAGGAACAGGTTTTTGGTTTGGTTATGGCTAGCTGTGAGGGTACATAAGACTAAAATGTTAGGAAATATTGTTATAAAGTATTTGTGAATTTAAAATGTAGGCTATAATTTACTATTACCAAATTAACACATTTTATCCAACATATAAACATATAAATAGGCAATAGTGGATAAGCTCCTGATGAGGAGTGCAGCTACAGGTTCAGTTATAGGCTAAAGTGGCTGCAAGGCAATTATAACATGGGCTATAGATAGAAACGTTGTAAAGTTAGAGTGTGAGAAACAGAGATGATTCTAGGAAGGACATTTTCTTGAATGTTTAAGGGCAAAGTTTAAACCACTACCATGTTAATATTATGCAAACCTTTTTTTACTGTGTCACTAGAATTGTCTACCTCAATAAAATGATAGCTAATGCTCCTCTGATTCAAGCCATAGGTGTAAATTACTTTCTTCTTCGCTTCAGAAGGCCTTATTTAACCCCCTGGGGCCGTATGGATTACTTTTATGATGGATGGATGCGCTTTTTTTGGGCTTCAATATCTGTGGTACCAGTCACTCCCATTACAAAGCTGGCAAGAGCCAAGATATTTTTTTATGTAACTCTGATTGTGTTTGGCTGAAAGAAGAAAGTCAAGTCAAATACACTGATGGCTTGAGGGTGAGTAAATTATGGGATAACTTTTCATTTTTGGGTGAACTAACCCAAAGAAGATGTGAATGGTCTCATAGGTCATGGTTGTTGCTGCGGCAACATTGCCGGTGATACAGAAGGTGATGTCAGCATCTGTTTGAAGAGAGGCTTGTCGTGGCCACCTGCCAGCAAAAGATAGGCTTGGGACTGAAGAGAGGGATCAATGGTGGCTACCCATTTACCCCTCCCTATTTGCCCCCTATTCAAACCCAGCCAGCCATTATCTATATAAATTCTGAATTCACTACCCTTAATCAATGTAGTACGCCCCTCTCCCCTCTCCAAATCACCCCAATGTGGGTTAGCCTTGCCAAGAGCACTACAAAGTATTCACTGCCCAGGGCTAAAGCATGGCACCTAAATTATGTAATTAGGCTGCAGAATCTAGAACGAAATCCAGGCCATTTGCAAGATGTGCAAGACCGTCATCATTCAGACTTTAACCATATAATAACCCCTGAATAAAATTGAGTTTTTTTCCTCCTTGACTAGAGCTCCATATTCTCATCATACTATATATGAGCCATAAAAGCCTGATGAATTAAATATGATAGACAACAAAAACACACATGCAAACATTTTTTAGACTTTGCCTAAAGCAGAGGTATCCAATCCTGCTCTTTGAGAGCCAATAGCCCGCAGAATTTAGCTCCAACCAGCTCCAACAGACTTGCCTGAAAGTTTCTAGTCGCTGCGTCCAAATATCGAATATTTCCTTACTATATGGTATGCGAAAAACAGTACACCAACAGACCAGAGTAGTATGTCCGAATGCATATTCGAAAAACCGTAGTGGAAAAATCCCCTGATGACCTACTACTTCTGGTGAGATTCTGTGCATTGGATGGACACTTTACTATCCCATGAGGCCACGGGAGAGGATTTGTGAATGAAAGTGAAGCGACGCAACTGACGCTGGTAGGTCATCTCATGTGACCGTAACAACATGGCGGATGTAGTACGTCCGAATTTCATTCATGCTACTACCCACATTCATTTTATATAGAATGTGTTTTTTAATGGTCACAAAGTATATTCAAATTTAAATGTAGTACCTTCTCAGACAGTATGCGATTTTGGATGCAGCGAGCGAGTCTAAAGGCTTTGAATAGCTGGTTCAGGTGTGTTTAATTAGGGTTGGAGCTAAACTCTTCAGGACAGTGGCCCTCCAGGAGCAGATTAGAACACCTGTGGTCTAAAGGTTCAATAAACTGTTTATTTATAATAATAAAAAAATAGAATTTTCTGACTTTTATTTCATATTTCAGGCATCACATGCAGGTAATAGATACCGCTAGATGGGTGTAAATGAATAAATATCTTATGTTTTGGTTCAACTTTTTATGTCTTTAGTTTACACATATTCCTTTTTCTACTCGTGTTTTAGGGTCAGATGAGCCTAGAGTTGCTGCTGTCTGGCTGTCAATCACATCTTCCCCCTCCCTCCCCATCTTCATGCTCATTAACCCCTGAACCCCAGTGCGTGCAACCGGCCTCTCAGACTCCCTGTGGGAATATCCACAGTTTAAGAAGGGGGCAACGTTTGATCATCACTTTCTTTACTTCCTTTCTCTCTTTCTTGTCCTCGTTTGGTTTTTTTATTGGCTAGTGAGTTTTTTAGACGTCTCACTCACTACACACAAAAAAAACTGACCCTGAATTATAATGCGAAACATGTGCCTTTTGAAGCAAGGATGTGCCAAAAGTTGGCATGTTCCAAACCTGTATGAGTTTCTTTCTTCTGTTGAACACAAAAGAAGATATTTTAAAGAATGTTGGTAACCAGACAGTTGACAGCACCCATTGACTTAGGAAAAAATAATAGGCTACTAATCAATCGGTGCCATCAACTGTCTGGTTACCAACACTCTTGATCTGATATTTACAGTATATTTTCAGTTATACAGTATATTTATAAACATGTCAAGTCGTTCTTTCCATTTCTCTGCATCCCCTGTCCTTCATTTCTCATGTATTTTGGCCTAGGGCTGGCATGTATGACTGGGAGGGTGTGTTTGTGAGTGGGTTTTTTGGGGGCAAGGGCTGAAAGCAATGCTCATAGAATTAATTTCTATCACCGCAGCAAACCAAAAGCTTCTAAAAGGGTATAAAAAGCAATCAAACAGATGAAAGGCATGCGTATAAATGTAAAAAGCAAGGGTGAAGCACATCAGCAAACAGCAAAAACACCTGATAAATTGTTTATTTATCTATTTACTGCTTAGCTCAGACATTGACATCACAGCTCTGGAAGCCACTCCTTTCTTTCCAAACCAAGCTCCATTTCTCTGACATTTTCTCAGTCCACATTTCCACTGTTCAGAAGTGAAATGGAGGTCATTTTTGGGCAGAGAGTTTTTTGTTTAGCCATCTCAGGAAGCTTTTTAGCATTTGTCAGCTACCCTTATAGAGAGCCCACCCACTCACCAACCATAACATGCTGACCCACACAAAAGAAAGAGAAATGCGAACTAACCCACACACACTACATACCACCTGTTCACTCCATCTGCTACTCTGGCATTTCATAACATGCACGCACATATCACACATAACAAGCACGCCAACATATCGGACTTCACGCTAACAAGTCCATAAAATACACATAGGTTTGATTGCTGAAGGAAATCTCAGATTGGAACTGTGTGATAAAATCATACCCGGAGGCATGAGGAGGTCTAATTGGGTCAGGCATCTCCAAAGATTTAATTTTGGGGCGAGAGTACAGTACAGTCATTTACATGGACTCGAGTAAGAACTAGAGTGGTATAATGGGTTTGGTGTTGTTGTTTTAGTCTATTCTCTTGGGCCTAGCTAGCTATTCATCTTTGAAAATAGTGGTACTTTAGTCAAGGCAAAACCTTTATGTGCCACTGTAGTGCAGCTAGTCGTTAAGACTAGACAATTCTAATAAAGGACTTAGGACATAAGAAGTGGACTTACTTATTCATGTTCCATGAAAATATACTGTAAATGTCAGATCAAGAGTGTTGGTAACCAGACAGTTGATGGCACCAATTAATTTCAGTAATATTATTTTTTCCTACAGTGGAAGTCAATGGGTGCTGTCAGCTGTCTGGTTACCAACATTCTTTAAATCATGTGACCCTTGACCACAAAACCAGTCACATGGGTAATTTTGAAAATCTAAACATTGAGAAAACCGCCTTTAAAGTTAAAATTTTAAAGTAAAAATTATTCCAAACTTTTAAGTGGACCTCATTTAATAAAATTCTATGATGTGACTCCTTTAATAACTAATAAAAGTAAGATCAGTTGTAACAGTCAATCACTTTACACTGTGCCAATGTTATGGGCAGTTTATTTCAGGATGTACTCTATAAATGTCTCTCCAAATGACCAACCCCCGGCCGCCACTCTTGAGACCTTCAGGCAGGACACAAGACCCAGTGGGTGAATCTTGACCCTTCGGCCCAGTTAATCTGTCTTTTCTAGCCTAAATTCCTCTTAGATTAAAGCAGGGTGGGACCCTGCCGACCGGGTCATGATAATATGCTGATTGGTCCCTTCCCCTGGGCATGCTGCTCAGCAGGCGGATAGGAAGTGTGAGTGATGGCATCTCGTGTGAGGATGTAAACTCACTATTTTGCTTTCCAATCTCTGTGAGTTACATGC